TTTAGAATATAAAAAAATAAAGGGCGTAGAGATAATTACCACTTCATGTTGCATGGTCTCCCTAGTGAATCTCACCATAGGATCACCATCTTCATTTGCCATATCAGCTCTTAATTTGGAATAAATTTTCTGAAATAGTTTCCAATAATAATAATAATAAATTTTAAATTTGTTAAATACCATATATAGTATTTTTAAATTTGTTAATATGCTTTTAAAAGTTCATTCATATTTTTTTTAAATAAAAGTATTTATAATTTTTTTAAAAAAATTTAAAAGCATTTTAAAAAGTTAAAAAATAGTTTTTTTAATTATAAGGGTATTTTTTTTTTTAAACTTTCAAAATATCCTAGTATTTTTATTAAATTTAGCCTATATTTCTTTATAGATATATTTTGAATTTTCCATTCTTTTTAATTACTCCGCACTTATGGAGTGTTAATGTGACACCTGAGTGAGAACAAAACATGCTGGAAAGACTCATATTGGTCTGTGAGGCCAAATCTGAATTTCGTAATGTGACCATGACGCAAGAGAACGCTAGAGCCATCAGGTACTAAATCCAGATTCCAAATCAAAAAGTCTTAATTTCTATCCTTTTCTTTTAATAATAATAATAATAATAATTTAAAATTTTTATTTTAAAAATATATTTTGCATGGCTAACACAAAATTTCAAATAAAAGGAAATAACAAAATAAACAATATCCAACTTTTCTTCTATTAAATATAACGAATATTACCTAAATTATTATTAAAAATAAATAAACAAATAGAGCAAAGTGAATGATTAGTAAATAGTAATTAGTAATTAATCATGTTTAACCTAAGGGATAACTTTTATGGATTAAGTATTTAACTAAATTACTTCAAAATAATATGTATTAATAATAAAAAATAAAAATAAATAAATAAATAAAGAAGAGAGAGAAATTCGTACCAGTTTCTGAAGCTTTTTTTTTTTTCTCTAACTATTTTTTGAAACTTGAAAGGAAAATGAGAATATATAAGAAATATATTTTATTTTTTTTAAATAATAATAAAAAATTAAATTTCCAGCAAAGGATGAAGTTGGGTTAGGACAGCAAGATAATTATTTTATTTTCATTAATATTTGGTTGGTAATAAATATGGATGTGAATTAGTTTTAGTTTATCCAATAATACAATGTATTTAATTTAATAAATATTATAAAATTTATTATTTCTGTTAAATATTTGACTTCTTTAATAATTCTAAATCTGTAATGGATTGTGGGCCGTTAGATCAATTAATCCCAAAATTATTTTATTAATTTTAAAAAATAATGAAAATCTTGAACGGTAATTAATTTTATACGTGTAGTTTTATTTTCGAAAAAAAAAAATCAAATCATACTATGGAGAGGATAGGTTGTGACTTACAAGTAAAGCGGTGACCCTCAAGTGGTGCACATTCGACCACTTGAAGGTTAAGATAGATGAGTGTCATGATACGCCTGAGTGCATCATCCAACATTCATGATAATGTGTGCGTGAAAGCCAAGAAAAGACATAAGCAAGATGCGGGCAATGAGTAGACAAGAGGGTTAAAGATGGGTTTGTTGAAGGGTCGGGTAGGATCCCGAGCTTTAACTTCGAAAGTCGGGATTCCTAAGGGAATTTGGGTATGCGATACTTATTTCAAGTCCGTCCATATAAAATATGAAAGCTCGCCAAACTTGGTGTCATTCAAACATCAAACGGATGCTCCACGATACATTAATCAAAATTTTGAAATGTAATGTCTAAAGATATTCACGTGACTGAGATATAAAATGAGGTTAAGACAGTGATATGAAATATAATCTTTATCTCCGATTCCGTTTAGCTAACGAGAAAAAAATCTCTCCCGCTCCTTATATTCTCTGTTTAAACGGAGATTCTCTACCCGACTCACGAATTAAATAGACATCTCTAATAACATTTTAAAAAACATCCAACAATAAATGGTATGATTTTATTTTTCTTAAAAATGATTAATCAATGTCTTTTACATCAATATAACCCGATTCATTAAATCATATAATCTTGATAAATAAGTTAAAAGTTCGAATCCTTATTCAAATTTTGGTAAACTGGGTGTGAAATTCAATTTGAAATTTTAACGTAAATGGTAAGTGAGTTGTATCATAAATAATTCAAATATGTCAATTTAACCATATTCGGAAAAATTGTGAGTTATCGTATAACTGACACATTAATCCAATCGGGATAAATAAATTAGAGACTAATTCATAAATTATTTCAATAAACTGATGCTAAAATTTAGTCTTAATCGCAAATAATGGATCTTATTGTTGTTCGGGTTAAAAAAATACACTTTATAACAAGAAGTTCAAAAATGTTGTGACACTTACTCCTTAATGATAAGATATTAAATAGATGTGTAATACTATAAATACGGTTGAAATACTATGACTTAAGGTGTTTGTGGGTTGGGTCGGGTCAAATCGTGTGATGTCCCACATTGGTTGGGGAGGAGAACAAATCACCATTTATAAGAGTGTGGAAACCTTCTCCTAGCAGACGCGTTTTAAAGCCTTGAGGGGAAGCCCGAAAGGGAAAGCCCAAAGAGGACAATATCTACTAGAGGTGGATCTGGTTGGTTACAAATGGTATAAGAGTCAGGTTCCGGACGCTGGCCCCAAAGAGGGGTGGATTTGGGGGTGGTCCCACATAGATTAGAGCAAGGAAAGAGCTCGAGCGAGCAGTCCCGAAGAGGGGGGTGGATTAATTTTCACACATTTGATTAAAATTTACAACTTATTTTCAATATATATTTTAAAAAGTTATTTTTTAAGAGTTGTTGAAAATCGCTCGTGTTTTCTAAAACATTTCTCTCGAATGTAACTCGAGGCTCGAACACACGTCGTTATTGTCCGCAAAGTGTGAAGTTCAGACGGATTAACTTGTTCGATGGGTTATAACGAGTGTTGCATAATCACTGTATCGTCGCTACAAAAGTGAAATTGAAATAGGGGTGAGAAATAAATTTAAATATTTTTAAAATTATTAAAATTAAAATTTTAGAAATTTATTATACCATTTTAAATCCATTATTTCCAAATTTCTATTTTAAAAAAATAATAATAATTTTGTTGGGCCAAATTGGAAATTTACCACTAAATTTACGTCTGCCTTTCTTCTTCTTCGCTTAGGTCTTCCTCCGCTTTATTTTCTTCCAGTACCAGTAAACCGCCGCCGCCAGCTTCCGACTTCCTCCCCTCCGACGATTGCATTCCCTCTGTAGCAGCTAAACGCCAAAACGCTCCTCCAAAATTTCAATCTTTCGGTATTCCTTTATTTCCATGTTCGAGCTCACTAGAATTTCCCAGTAATTGTTTAATTTATCTGCCGATTGATTCCTTACAGTGTTTCGATTGGCCCTGGTTCATTTTACACTTGCAACGCTCTGTTATTTTCTGTATCGATTTGATATAGTTTCAAGCGGTTTTTACTTTTTCTTGAATTATATGATAGTTCTTGCAAAATCTTTATGGGATTCTTCAATGATTCTTCGAAAGAGTGTAGAGAGCGAGATAGAACTTGAAACTGTTTCGATTTTTCAATTATATGTGATTATTATGGATCTATTTTTTATTTGGTTGCTGTTTTCCCCCTAAATTTTGACAGAATCTGGTATTCTTGATTCTTTATGAACTTTTGAAGATCAAGGATGTTGCCAACTGATGACTTGAAGAAGATATCTTTCACTCGTTCTATAAGGGATGGAGATTTAGTCATTGTTTATGAGAGACATGATGTCATGAAGGCTGTGAAAGTATGTGAAAGTTCAACATTTCAGAATAGGTTTGGTATGTTTAAACATTCTGATTGGATTGGAAAGCCATTTGGGTCCAAGGTTTTGAGTAACAAAGGTGGCTTTGTTTACCTGTTAGCCCCAACTCCTGAATTATGGACTTTGGTTCTAAGCCACAGGACACAGATTCTATACATTGCGGACATTAGTTTTGTAATTATGTTCTTAGAGATAGTTCCTGGTTGTTTGATTCTAGAATCAGGGACGGGCAGTGGATCTTTAACGACGTCTTTAGCTAGGGCTGTAGCGCCTACAGGACATGTCTATACGTTTGATTTTCATGAACAGAGAGCTGCCTCGGCGAGGTAGGAACTGAGATTTGTTGTATGTTGTCAAGTTACTCTGCAGAGTAATTGTGTTCTATGATGATTTGCTTGTCTCCCTCTTTTTTCAGAGAGGATTTTGAGAAGACTGGCTTGACCAGCTTAGTCACTGTGGGAGTTAGAGATGTTCAAGGTCAGGGCTTTCCTGAAGAGTTTGTTGGATTGGCAGATTCAGTTTTCTTGGATCTACCTCAGCCTTGGTTGGCCATTCCTTCAGCTGAAAGAATGCTGAAACAAGATGGCGTATTATGCTCGTTCTCTCCATGTATCGAGCAAGTTCAACGGTCAGCCGAAACTCTACGATCTAAGTTTACAGGTTGTTCCAAATGACCCATTTATATACCTTCATTCCTAGACATATGTTGATTTGTATTATTCACTATTGTCGTCGTCCCTTTTGTGTAGATATAAGAACATTTGAGGTATTGCTTCGGACTTACGAGGTTCGAGAAGGTAAAACAGAGAGCAGCCAGGTTGAAGGAGGTGGTTCTGTCGAGCTTCCACCGTGCAAGAAGCGGGTGAGATCAAAGGAAGCTAACGACACAAATGGTGATTCGAGTACGGTAATGGTTAGGCCATGTAGTGAGGCCAGAGGTCACACTGGTTATCTAACATTTGCAAGACTCAGGTGCCTCTCATAACACTGATATAGTTCATGATTTGAGGTTTTGTTCTTCTTCATCACTCTGAATCTTTGATTCTCACTTCAGTTATTGAATGTTCTACAATTTTGTCCGATCACTCTTCATCATTTAAGCTTAAATTTCATAGATCTCTTGGATTTTTCACTTCCTAACACCCATGAGTGATTCAAGAAACCTTGTGGATGAAAAGAACTGAACAGAAAGAGGGAAAAAAGTAGACAAACTGTTCAAAATTTGGTACATAATTTCAAAACCAAACTGTGCATAGCTCAAACAAAAGGAAATATTGCCATTGGCAAACAAAAGTGCACAAATGGCAACTTATTCAATGCCAAACTTTTAACACCTCTACTTGACCCCTACTATGGACATGAGAAACTGCAACTTCTGGTTAAGTAGATTGATATCATCATCATTAGCAGAATCTTTCATCGGGGAAGGTGGCTCGACTCCGATGAAGGCATATAGAGCGTTCACTTCGTCTAAGTATGTTCCGAGGGGGGTAGCCTTGTATCCTACGATCTTCTTCATCGAAGCAATCTTTTCTCTTATCTTTACCTCTCCTGATAGTTCCTTGCGAAACGAAAATGGAAAACTCAGGAATTTCAAACCAAGCCGAAGAAAGTGAGTATCCAAAGTTGATGCCAAACAGACATCAATTAAAACTCAGTACTTGTCAGTCCTAGTCATTAGCTCGATCGGTAAACAAAGAACGAAGGAAACAAGGTCATAGTATTCGGATTGAATCGATGTCTTTATATTATGTACTGACCTCATTGGAAGACATCCTATGATCTTTATGTGGAGAATTTGCCTCAACTTTGTGTTCAATGGTCATAGCTGATATAGACAAACCCTCATCAGATTCGATCACATCTATCATTGTTACTTTAGGAAGTTGCTCAGCTTCTTCAGACTTGGCTGCCTTGTTTGACAATGTCGTTATTGCATTTGTTTCATCACTAGATTTCGCCCACCCGACCCCTTTAATTCCGATGACAAAGATTAGATATTCAAATCCTCAACCCAAAAAGAGATATCGTAAGTTATTAGCAAACTCGTAACTCGGAATAATAAACCGATTCGCGTTCTAAACATAGGCTCGAATTCTAACTCTTAACTTATAAACAAAAGAAATGAATTACCTTCAGAAGTTCTATAGTCTGCATGAGGATAAACAGCAGCAGAGTCAACTTCATTCAACAAACCTAGAACACTTTCTTCGACAGAATCACTTGGTTTCTCGTCCTCTATTGAAATCTCGAGCTCTCGAACATCATCAACACCTCCATTTTCATCAACAAAACCATTGTCTCTTCGTCCCTCATCCCTGATTCTTTCGAGTAAACCTCTAGTTTCCTTCAACTCTTCTTCCTCTTCTTCCTCATCTCCATTATCTCCATTTCCTTCAAATTCCACATTGGTCACTTCAATTGCTGCCAGACCTTTGCTTCCAATGTCGGTTTCACCCTCTTCGCCCCCCTGAACGACTACCACATCGATATCGAAATCATCCAAATTCTCACCTCTCTTAGCTGTTTCCATCATATGTTTTTCTTCATCTTCGTAGATGTCTTCCTCCACCATCTCTTCGTCAGCGCGGTCGAGCTTCAAGGCCGGGGGAATCGGAAGCCAAACACTCATGATCGTCTCAGTGCAAGCATAAGAGGCGAGGAAGACCCCATAAGGAATTGAGGCTGCAATTCCAAAGGCTGACATGATAACCAATGGAGGAAGAACCACAGGAACAGAGGATATGGCTAAACCAGTGAGGAGAAGCTTCTTCCCCAGACTGCAACCCTTTTGCACGGCGGAGCATATCTTTTCACTGCTCAGGCCATCACCGGAGGACAGTTGTTCTTCTATATTCCAGTCTATGCTGCGATAGCCCTCCATCCTGACAAATCAAAGAAAACTTTTATCCATAATCTTGACATCAAAGATCCTAAAAGCTAAGACAGGAAGAAAAATAAACAAAACCTGATGAACTCAGGTGGTTCATCGGCCATAATCAAACAAGCTCTTCTTCCATGGCGGATAGAGAGAGAATAGCTGTTGAAGAGAATGCAAGGGAAGGCGGTGGTGGATTGTGCAGAGGAAAAGGAATGCCTGCAGAAGCCTGCCACCAAGTTAAACGTGGCGGGTTCCTACTCCACCGCTTCTCTTTAAATTTAGCCCTTTTCTTCCCCTTCCTTACTTCTTCTACATATCAAAAACACTTGCCTTCTAACTCACGTATTCTCTCTTGACAGATGTCTTGTGGTCTATGTCGAGAGATTATTAAAGGATAAGCCCACATAACTCCTAATATTATGCATGGTTTAGGGAAGATTCTTGAAGTGATGGGTAAGTGAGCTAGGTGATAGCATGCTCACCTATTTAACACAAGCTCACTGCTAGTAGATATTGTTCTCTGTCAGCTTTTGAACTTTTTTTTTTGAAATTCTTTCAAGATTTTAAAAATACATCTACTAGAGAAAGGTTTTTACGTTCTTGTAAAAAATGCATTGTCTTTCTCTTAACTGATGTGAGATCTCACAATCTACCTCCGTTTAAGGTACAGCATCATTGTTGACACTCGTTCTTCTCTTCAATCGATTTGGGATCTTACATTTTTCTTCATTTCTTAATCTTATCGCGGGAACATTACTTGAGAGCTTAAACTATGATCAAGCTTAACAAAGTAAATTGTATTTCCTATCATGTGATTGTTGCAAACTATTATCCAAATACCAAGTTGTGACACTCGGAATATATGAGTAAATCGATACTATATTCAAATGATAAAGATCTTGAGGATAGAATGACTCAAAAAGACTTACAAGAATTGAAAGTTATTACATGCATTAATAAGATAAGATGCACCTTCTTTTTTGTGACTCAATCATAAAAACTTCATACTTAAACGTGCTTTGCTTGGAATAGTTCTATGTTGAACAACTTGAAAATTTGTTTGAAACAATTCTACCGCAACGTCGGTCAGCCAACGACTATCTGATACAAAGTCCTCTTCGCCATTGGACTTGTCCAACACGGAATAAACAGCATCCAAAAAGTCATGGAACATATTTTGGTAAACAAATTTGCCATGAACAATAGCCGACGTCCTTGTAAAAGTGCATAATTGAGAGGCATGTTATGGGTGTTGATATAACTCAAGTAAGGGTACAAATTGAGTAGCAATGGCAAGTTCTTTTCCACAAGAAAGCTAAGGGTCGGATTGTCAAGTCGAATTCTTTGGATGTTGCTTTGACTGTAACTATGGTTCATTTCTGTTGGAAATGTCTGATTAGCACCTGAATCAAATTCGGTAAGTCTCGTTATAACTCTAACCGTTCGATATTCAAGAATTGTTTAACCAAATCTTAAAATTTAGATGTATTTTTCTATTCTAGGTATTAAACTTGATAATTTCAAGAGATCAAATATCGAGAGAGAGAAGGACTTACTTGAAAGTTGTAGGCCTGCAAGTAGAAGGCAAAGAAGAAATAAAAAGGTGGTGGATGAATGGAGTTTGGGTTTTGAATAATAGAAGTTGGCCATAGATCATAGAGCAAATTGTTGATAACAAAAACCAAAGGAAAATAAAGGCTTAGGACAATAATGCCTCTATCTTTCCTTTTATAAGTTAAAAATTGCCTTGTCTTTTGGTTCAAAGACTTGCATTACTAACCATTAGAGCGGTCAACGGGTGGGGACGAGGAAGGCTATTAGAGACGTCCACGGGTGGGGACGGGGAAGCTGTCCCCGTCCCCATCTCCATCTCCACCACCTACTTCATATCTCTTATCTTCCCTTCTATAAGTGCAAAATTTGGTCTTTTGGTTCGAAGACTTCAATTTATTAAAAGACTTAGCATCATTCAAGGAGTTAATTTGTAAGACACTACTAACCATTCATGTTGTCTTCCTTGACTTCACCCACTAGAGATGTCTACGGGTGGGGACGGGAAGCCTTCCCCTCCCCATCTTCACAACGTACTTCGTTCTTCATCTCCGTAAAATTCCTTGTTCCTCACTCCCTCATTTTCCGTCTAAATGGAGAATCCCCTCCTTGTTCGAGGCGGGTCCCTACCCTGCAGATAAAACATACATCTCTACCATCCAACATACTATATTTGATTTGAATTAAGTTTAGGTTATGAATTTTCATTAGATCTAATTGAATTTTTTTCGATGGGAAGGATTTGAACTTGTGATCTCTCGATCGAAAATATATATCTTAATCATTTAAACTATGTTCAAGTTGATAAATCCAATTCAATTCAAACAATCTGAACGTGCAATTATATTTTATATACACATATGAATGAAGTTAATTCATGTCTTGATCTGTTGTGACTTGTGAATACTTGATATTTAAGATTCATAGCTCAACTAAAACGAGTCCAGGAGTTCTTTTGAACATTACAATCCATGAGATTATTCAAAAGCTTTTATTTCTTTGTATAGTAATATTATTGCTTGCTTCCATCTCTCAATTGAAGTTGATTGGATATTTAAGCTGTTTGTTTGGAGTGAAGAGCCCAAAATGCTTCTCAAACTCGGGATTCTTTTGGTTTTCATCAAACATGGCGAAAATATAAGCCTCAATTGGCCTTCCAGGGCGCCTCGGAGTCCCTCTCTTAACGTGTTGAATCAAATTGTTAATGTAAGTCCTTGCATTACTGATCGACGTCGCTGCTCCCCCGGCTGTCGGCCACCCGCTCTCCGACACTACAATCTCCAAATTTCTTCCCCCGGCCTTCTCCAATGCTGCATAAGTTGCGTCGAGAATTGCATCGAACAAGTTCTGGTAACGAAACTGGCCGTCGGTGACAACTGTCGAGGGCGCCGTGAAGAGGGCATAGTCCAAGCGGATGTCCCTCATGTTGCCAATGTAGCTGAAGTAAGGGTATAAGTTGACGAGCAATGGGGAGCTGTTTTCATTTAGGAAACGAATGATGGGGTTGAGAAGTGGCATAGCTTCGCTTTTGAATGCGCCATTGGAAGGAGGGAATGATGTGCCGATGACACCAGTGTCAATGGAGGTGGAAACTTTGATCCGACTACTCAAGCCAACATTGGCAAGCGCAGTTTGGATGTTGCGCATGGCCGGGACAACAAACTGAGCGTTAGAGCTAGAGGGTTGGACTTCATTGCCAACGCTGATGTACTTGAATCTAACATTGGGGAAGCTTCTTATGTTGTTTTGAACCCATGTATTGGCTTCCGCTTGGCTTGAAGCAATTCTTTGTAGGTCGGGGTTTGGGACGTCGAGAATGAGCTCAATGTTGGAGCCTGAAAGCGCGCCGAGGGAATCTCTATTGGGACCATAGAGCCTCATTCTTCTAATGTTGTTTTGGTTGTAGAGAGCCACCACTTCTCTTGAAGGTGGTAGGTTGTTTCCCATTTGTCCATAGCAAACTCCAATTTGAGCACCTAAAACAATCCCAACATAGTTAGGTCACTCTCACGAGTATTACGAAGAAAAATTATAATACTATGATAATATGAAAAGAAAAACATTAAGACAATTCTTGATACCAGGTCTAGAATTACAACTAGTTAGAACTGAGTTTGATCTAGGTAAGGGTTAGAGCGAGGAATTCCTTTCTCATACCCATCAGCAGAATAAATCGATAGAATTTTTTTCCGATCTAAACTATGAGATCCCACATCGAATGGAAAAGGGAACGAACCATTCCTTATAAGGGTGTGGAAACCTCTTCCTAAAATTTCCCCCAGAAGGAAAGCCCAAAAAGAACAATATTTATTAGCATTAGGTTTAGGCTATTACAAATTGTATCAAACGTTGGGCTCCAACAATATTTGTTATTAGTGGGTCTGGGCTGTTATAAATTATATCAAAGGCCGGGGTCCAAGGGATAGATTATGAGATCCCGCATCGGTTGGAGAGGAGAACAAAACATTTTTTATAACATAATAGAAACCTCTCCGAACAGACGCTTTTTAAAACCTTGAGGAGAAACCCAAAAGGAAAAAACCTAATATCTACTCGTGATAGACTTGGGATGTTCCGAACGAAAAACAAGAAATTAATCAAAAAAATATATATGCATGAAAGGGAGAGAGAGAGATACTTGTTAGATGAAGGGTTGACATAAGAAGGCCAAGAAGGCACAAGGAAATGATGGAATAGGAGTTAGCCATTGGAGAAGAGTATTGTATGTTGTATGTTGATAATAATATTTGGTTATAAGCTTCCCTTTTTATACCCAAAACTAAAGACTTCCATTCATGGGAGATTTGGAATAGTCAATAAAACTAATGATTCTAATCTTAAATGGTTGCCCACCTCCCTAAATCTCCCATTTAATGATTCAAATTGAAATCATACCCGGAATTGACGATCAGTTCATGGGTATGAAATTCATATTTGATATCTTATGATCTCGATATTCCCTGTGACATGGTCAGGTTACTACTCGTAGCTTCTTAAGCGTGAAGATACTATCCCTACGAATCAACACGAGTCCTAACATCATGATATGTTCTCACTGAATGCATCTTAGGAAAATTTTCAAGAGGTCACTTGCTCAAAGCAAAACACGCTTAACTATGGAGTTCCTATGATTAAGCTACCGAAAAGGAAAATACACTTTATTAGTATAGATAGTAACTTTCAATTTCCTTTAAGCTTTTCTTAGTTATCTTATTCTTAGGACCCCTCTCGTTCGGATATGGCCTCGGTTCATTTATGTATCTCTCCTTTACTCGGGTGAGCTGGGAAATAATTAATTAATTAACTAGGTTATGTTTTTTTTTTAAATCTTTTCGTTTGAATATATCAAGATTGTCTTAGTTACAACTCCAAATTTCTCGAACATCAGACTTTTCAACATATATATATATTTATTTATTTATTTATTGATCTATGTTTAAATTGGTTGATACATCGAATTTATTATTTTTTTTCTTCGACAACTGTAACTATTTAAACGACTATATAATATGTGGATGTAATATCTTTAGGTCAGTAGTCCCACGCTACGTTTAGCTCTCCTAAATTTATAATTTATTTATTTATTTTCATTTTTTTTAATGAATCTAAATATGTAGAAAGAGATATAATGAGATTTTCTTATGAAAATTCAACTTATACATTTATTTTGATAAAATAAATATATTATTTTTTTTAAGATAAGATTGGAAAACTATTTTTAGTCAACGGCCACCATTAATATTGTATTTATTTGCCCTTTTTCTTATTTAATTTGTACTCACCATTTTTAAATAAATGAAAATAAAAATATTATCAATATTTAAAAATTTACACCATTAATTATATTTTCAATATTTTATGTGTCCATATTTTATTTAATATTCTTTAAAATAAATTACCACTATTTTTTTATGATCAGTTTTATTTTTATTTTATTTTATTTTAAAAGAATTAAAAACAAACAAATTATGAATAAAAAAACCAAAATTAAATACTTCCATTTGATAATATATATATAAAAATTGAATGGAAATTATTATAGAATTTATTTTTTTTTCAGTAAATGAACCTTTGAAAATTCAACCATAATTTTCAAACTATTACTTTTCAAACCTGTGGACGAGTTGACTCAAGACATCCGAATCTAAGTTTTTGACTAGATTAAGCTAACCCTCAAATTTCTGGCGTTGTCGAGACATGCATTTAACATGCCTTGTTTAGACAAGGATTAGAGCTATGGTCGAGCATGTGGGTCTGAGCCTTCTTCACTTCCCCATACCTATTTGGGTCCTCGGGTGAAACTTTAGCCAACGTCCTATCTTTTTTCTAGTCATGTTGTTCCTGAACGTGTCCAATCTCGAACATGTCTCTATGCTTCAAAATTACGTATAACGAGTGTATGAAATTATAGAAGTTAGTAAATAGGTTTTCTTATAATTTTTCTTCCATTAGCTTTATTTATTTATTTTTGTTGTTATTTATATTTATTAATTCTTAATTTTTTTGTTGAATTAAAAAATAGGGATTGCATTTGGTAGCTAATAAATAAAATCTATTTATTTAAAAGAATGAAAGATTTGACACGGCGGCTTGGCTCGGCGGCTTGACTCACTCACAAGCGCGAGTTACGCAAACAAGACAAACCCACCCGAGTTGACACGTAATCGCAATTAAAATATTAAAAATATAAGTCATGATTAAATAATTATTTTAATTCTATAATATTTGAAGAAGGAAAAAAAAAAAAGGCAACGTGTTAAAATAAAATTAAGAAATTTATTTTTAAAATAAAATTAGACGCCATTTATGGCGCTCCAACCTTCAATCAGAATAGTAATAAAAAAATAATAAATAAATAAAAGCCAAATAAATCAGATTATTTGAAAACAATAACAGAAAAAAATTAAATTAATAAAAATAATCTCCAATTTTGTTTTAAAAATACTATTAAAACTTTTAAAAATTTCTTAAAAGAAAATTTTAATTCAAAGTCTCTAACTATATTAATAATGTGCATCTTTCTTTTCTGTAGCTCAAATATAAGATCTCCATGATCTAACGTGTTTTACTTGGAATTTTGTATTGAGTGACTTCTTAGGAATTTTTTTTGGATGCATGTGAGTATGAATAAAACATGCTAGAAAGACTCGTGTTGATCTGTGGGGATAGCTTTTACTCTTAAAAAATGAGGAATACGTGGCCATGTTGTAAGGGAATGTCGAGGCCAACAGGTACCGAATCCGGATTCTGAACTCTTGGCATGGAGCTTTACATTTTGTGTAGTCAAAACTGTTGCAAAACTCAGAGGATCCAAAAGCGTAGCACTCGAGACACTAGAATAGCATCAAGACGCCCTTAAAACTCGAAGGATAGTATGATGTCCTACATTGGTTGGGGAGGAGAACAAAACATTCTTTATAAGGGTGAGGAAACCTTCCTCTAGCATACGCGTTTTAAAGCTTTGAGGGGAAGCCCGAAAGAGAAAGCCCAAAGAGGACAATATCTGCTAATGGTGGATCTGGGTCGTTACAAATGGTATCAAAGCCAGACACCGGACGATGTGTGCCAGCCTTCTCACTGTTCCCCGAAGGGGGTAGACATGAGGCAGTGTGCCAATAAGAAAGCTGAGCCCCAAAGGAGAGTGGATTTGGGAGTGGTCCCACATCAATTGGAGGAATGAAAGAGTGCTAACGGGGACGCTGGGCCCCGAAGGGGGGGTGGATTGTGATGTCTCACATTGGTTGGGGAGGAGAACAAACCACCATTTATAAGGGTGTGGAAACCTTCCCCTAGTAGACGACTTTTAAAGCCTTGAGGGGAAGCCCGAAAGGGAAAGCCCAAAGAAAACAGTATCTGCTAGCTAGCGGTGGATCTAGGTCGTTACAGATAGATGCTATGCAACTCGTAACATTGAAACATTGAACACCAAACAACCCTACGATACGTGAGCATGGAAATGTTTCTTTGTTAAAGCTTGGGATTAGGCCATTATTTTGGTCTATCTTTGGGCTAGGTCTTGTTAGGCAATACATATATATTTGTATTACCGAGAGTTGGTTTTTGTTATGTGAGTCGTGCAGTCTGGGAAGAGATTGGGGAGTGAATATTTTGCGTTTCACTCATAGGGTTAAATGTTTTCGTTCGTTATTTATCTCAAGCTATCAAGTTGTGATATTTGATAGTCGATTTGTAGTATGAATTCAGAGGCCATTTATAATCTTTATCATAATAAAACGTGCAAAAGTTTGAACATAATCTCGAGTCTGGAGTGAACCATTATAACTTTCGATATTATTTTTTATTTCTTATCTTGGCTTGAACACATGAACCATGTCATGTATTTGAATACATAACGGAAGATTTTAATATTATTAAATAAAAGATTCCGACAAAGATATGACATAGATCCGTAGGAATTTAGTTGAAGTTAACCTCGTACTTGGGCATCTTGCTTGGAGAGAACAAACCCCAATGTTTCTCAACCTCCGGTGGCGTTGTCTTCTCATTCTCATCAAACATAGCAAACACATAGGTTTCCACAGGCTTTCCACTTCTCTTGGGTGTCCCTTCTTTCACATGTTGAATCAAATTGTTGTTGTACGTGTTTGCATTCTCCACCGTCGCCGCCTCGCCGCCCTCCGTCGGCCAACCGGTCTCCGATACAGCAATTTCCAGCCCGTCGCTGCCCGCCTTCTCCAAAGCAGAATAAACAGCATCCAAAATGGCATCAAACAAATTATGGTAAACAAATTGGCCATCTTCAACAGATGGAGATGTTCCTCTAAAAAGTGCATAATCCATAGAAATATCGGCCGTGTTTGCGACGTAACTGAAGTACGGGTACACGTTTACGAGCAACGGGGCGTTATTGTCGAGAAGGAAGCGAATGGTCGGGTTAAGGATCGGAAGATAGTCGGTTTTGAAGGAACCCTTTGAAGGAGGGTAGGATTCTGCAAGAATTCCAGTGTCGAATGCGGTTGATACCTTGATTTGGCCTCCTAAACCCACAGCGGAAATGGCATTTTGGATATTTTGCATGGCTGGTACGAGGAAACTAGCTGCTTGGTCGTTTGTTTTTATTTCGTTTCCAACCACAATGTACTTGAATTTTACGTCACCAAAGCTTACGAGGTTGTCATGAACCCATGAATCAGCTTTTTCTTGGAAGTTGGCTAGATCTTCGAGCTCGTTGTTCGGAATTCCAAGCATGAGCTCGATATTCGAGCCTCGTAGAGCGTCGAAAGTAGGATGGTCTGGAGCGTAAAGTCGCATTCTTTGGATGTTGTTTTGTTTGTAAAGCTCGATAACTTCCACGGGAGATGGTAGGTCGTTCCCGAGTTGTCCATAACACACACCAATTTGAGCACCTACATGAAATTGAGTAAGAGGGTAGCTCAGCAGATAGATAAGATATCAATTATTCGATGAAACTGCTACAACGACACAGTAAATGCTTTACACTGTTCTGTATACCTATTGATCTGAAGTTTAAAATCAAATCGAATAACGTTTTAAAGTTCAAACATGACTCGATTGTCACATGGGTATGCACATAATGGATAAAGCTCAAACATTTACGAGAGAGAGAGAGAGAGATCCGAAGAAACTGCTACAATGCCACAGTTAAACGTTTTACACTATTCAACATACCCATTGATCTGAAGTTTAAAATGGAATCAAATAACGTTTTAAATTTTAAATCCTACTCGATTGTCAGATGGGTATGCACGTAATTGATAAAGTTCAAACATTTACGAGAGAACAGGAGAGATACTAACTTGTTAGATGCATGCGTGCAAATAGTAGCCATAGAAGAGATACGAAGAAAGTAGAGAGGCCATTGGCGTTCGAAAAGTAGATAGCCATGGATAAAGCAAAACACAAAGGAAACTATAGGAATACAAGAAAAATATGCCTTTTCTAATGCTCATATCAATGCTCTTAAGTTACCTCATTTTATAGTGAAATTTTTGCCCCAACTTTTGGTTCATAGCTTCCAAATGTCTAGTTTTGTTCATAACTTCCAATTCTTCATGACTTTGAATGGTCTAGAGAGAGAAAAAGAGGAACGCGGAGAGAGAGAGGGAAGAACCCTAAATTCGTATCGATAAGTTGATCGGAAACATTTTTCGATAGGTCTGATTTGAATTTGAGCATGGTTTGAGAGTGATTTTGAAATCGTTGAAATCACTTTGCTTTTAATGAATTGAACATGCGAATACTGCGTTTAATTCAGTGATTAAAAACATGTTTAGGAGTGATCTCAACAACTTTAAAATTAAGTAGGTGAATATGTATTTTAAATTAATACGTGTTATCGGGGTAAATATTTAATATAAAAATTAATTTATAATTAATTTTGGATTGTATTTTGGTTTAAGACTTTCCTCCCGAGAAGACTTGAAATAGTCAATAAAATATGGGTAGAGAAGTGACCCATTAAATATTAGTCATAAATTCAATATCCACTTAATAATTATTTTCTCGATGTCGTTGCTTAGGGTTTAGATCGAAATTTGGAATATAGATTCGGTATCTAATGGCCCCGACATTTTCAACGTCCCATGCAACATGACTACGTTACTTATTCGACTTTTTCTAGTTAGTTTCAAGATTGAAGTCCATTCTCACGAACCAACATAAGTCCTTTTAAACATGTTATGTCCTTACTTGAAAGCCTAACCCACATGAGCGTCGCGGGTCGAGTGAACGTTTCTAAAATTGGGGTGTAATTGTAAATAATTTTAAATTGGGCTACATTCATAATTATTTTTGGGTTAGATTTGCATATATGGAATTTGTTGGGCCAATCCATCAAATCTCAAACTTTTACTATGATTTTTCAGACCCTATTTTGTAGGAAAAATTACAGAGGAAAGAAGAAAGCGGAGAGGTTAAAGAAACCGTAACCTCACAAATTGTTAGCTCCTGGAGCTTCAGCCACCCCTCTCTGCAGCGTCTCCGGGCACCCACCTGCTTCTCAGGGAACGTTACCCTCTCGCTGCCGCCTCAGGAGTCCGCGCAAATCCATCCAGCGAACGCCCACTTCGCGTTCTGCGCCGCTCAAACCCCACGTACGAACAGTGTCCCACGTGCCGACGGGCTTGAGCCACCTTCTCCGGCGAACCACGAGCATTGACGGTGCGGCTTGCTTTCTGTTGCAACGACAAGCACCCTGACGCTCGACCACCGGCGACGACTCCTTCAGCAGCGGTGTGGCTGTTCAGCGAACGCTTCAGCAATCCAGATCTGTAAACTCAATCTAGTTGTGTGTTTGGATTTGTGACTCGCAACCTGATGGACCTTGAATCTGAACAACCATTGCCTGTGGATCTGTGAGTTCGAGCCGAGATCCAAGTTTTTTGTGGCAAGGATTAGTAGGTATCAGTTAATCTAAACTTTTTGAATTCGATCAAGTGTTCGAAATCTGTTTCTAATTATGGATCCCTTGGCATTTAGGTTCGGACGATTGGAATTAAGTTTAAGGCCGATTTTGGGTAAGAACTCGTCGGCAATTTCTCATTAGCCTGAAACCACACATCTTTTCTTTCAATTGAGTTTTGTTAATGGCGCTGTGGTCTTCATCATCGTCTCCGAAAGGGATTGTCGTGACATTTCCTGTGCTCTTACTCAGTGCCTTCGCTGTGATTCTCTTTTGCTTCTTCTTTATCTCCAATTTCTCCTCTTGTCCATGCCCTGTTTCTCCCCACATTGTTGTCTCCAGTATTGCTGCCGACGCCGTAGCCGGAGCCGGAGCCCAGATTCGTGATGGGGTTCTGACAAACGAAGAAGATGTTGATTGGGTGAAGGATCAGATCAAAGCTAATGGGTTGCAGATGCATGATAATGTGCTCCGAAAAGGCATCAATCCTCGCACTAGGGCTCAACAGCTTGAAGATCTCAGACAGTGAGTAATATAACTAATGGCTCTCCCTCTCTTCTTAGTCAAACGAGATTAGATGAATTGAAAAACAAACTTAGTCTTGCACTGTGAATTAATTTGTGGTTGTTTATTGTCATTTTTGTTGAATATCTAGAATTGAGCCTCGATTCTTGATAAGAATTGTTCTTGGGCCATCCTAAGATTGTTATTGATAGTTGCTTACCTGCGTTCCTCTGCGTTGTTAAGAATTGTTCTTGGGCCATCCTAAGATTGTTATCGAATCGATAAGAGCTAGAATTTTACTTCACATCATTTTGAAATATGAACAAAAAATGGATAGTTTTCATGATAATATATCAGCTTTCTTGTATGCGCTGCATAGAAATCCTTCAAAGCTTTGTTGATTGATGTTTATGGATTTATTGGTCAAATTATTTCTTCTTTGATCTATTATAACTTTGGTATCTTTGTTTTTACTTGTTCATTGTTCATACCATTATGGAATATGAATGGAAAATCTGAACAATTTTGCAAACTTCCTTGAATGGTTCTGCCTAGAATGTCTATAATCCTTGAATAATTTCTTATGATTTACGTCGGCCAATTTACTTATTCGTTGATCTATTGCAACTTTGGTACATTTGCATCGCTGTGTGTTCATTGTTCAAGTAACATTGTTCCTCTTTGTATGTGTAATATGAATACTTTATCCATTATTGATGTAATTCGTAAAATTCATGATAGGTTCAAGGGTATATCACATTATGAGGGATCTGACGAACAGAACCGAACAGCACTTCCATGCCCTGGTGAGCTCCTGGTAGAAGAACACCATAGTAACTATGGTGAACCTTGGGCAGGCGGGCGAGATGTGTTTGAGTACCTAGCTGAGTTCTCTCATATAACGCCAGATGCACACGTTTTGGAGATTGGGTGTGGCACTCTCCGTGTTGGCTTGCATTTCATACGATACCTTAAGCGTGGACATTACCATTGTCTTGAGAGGGATGAGCTCTCTATGATGGCTGCCTTTAGGTATGAGCTTCCATCTCAAGGTCTCTTAAGCAAGCGCCCATTAATTGTGAAAGGGGAGGACATGGACTTCAATAAGTTTGGCTCTGAAGTTCTTTATGATTTGATATATGCTAGTGCTGTGTTCCTTCATATGCCTGATAAGCTTGTCTGGGTTGGACTGGAGAGGCTTGCTAACAAATTAAAGCCATACGATGGACGAATCTTTGTGTCCCATAACATAAAGTTCTGTTCACGGTTGGGCGGGGAGGAATGTACAAAGCGTCTAATGAACTTAGGACTTGAGTATCTAGGAAAGCGCACACACGATAGCTTGCTTTTCAATCACTACGAGATCTGGTTCGAGTTCAGACGATCGAAGCCTTAGTAGTAGTAGTACTATCATTCTCTTTGTATTGTCCGGACCGAGTTCCCAGTATGTGAAAGATGAATATAGGAAGCTAAGCTGTTCATATCGTTCGTATTGCTTGCTAGTCTTGGTGGATAAGAATGCCATTGACACTTTCAGCTCCTTGACTGGTTTTATGGAGAATCCAGGAGGAATTGGCAACCCTTAAGCATGTTTGAGTGGCAACACATTTCATTTCATTGGTCACTAGAAAGAAGAAAATGGCTTTTCCTTTGTATGGTGATTAGCTTGAAAAAGGAAAAGAGTGCCTTCTCTCTTCTCCTGTGTGCCTTTTTGTTGTATGTACTCTTTGTAATCTCTATTCAATAGCTTGGAGCTTCTTTTTTTGATCTACAAGCTTTAATCATGTCCAATTCATTATTTTCATCTTCCAAACCATTTGATAAATGAATTGCTTACTCGGATAATCGGGTGTTTCGTTCTTGAACGGTTAGGATTGTGTTTTTAGGTCTTTGAACATTAAACAATGGTTAATGAATTCTTGAACTCTTACTTTTGTGTCTAAATGTTTAATAGGACTCTAATTTTTACGCTCGGGTCGATTAACGATATTCAATCTAAAATCTTTTTCTGTATTTGTTTTATGACAAACGTTTATATCTAGATCTTTCGATATTGTGTTACGAAATTGAAAAACATAATTACAAATGAATTGGAAGTAATCAACCTCCCTTCCGTGTTGGAGATTCATCTATTTGGCTTAGAGGTGGGCAATGGTTGTTTGATTTTGTAGGTCATGAAGTCGGAGTCCGATCGGGAGTAGTTGGTAAAAATATATCATTTTGTCTAGACTCGCTTAAAATTCATCAAGGCAACAATTGCAACCGTTTTAGTGAATGTTAGATTATGAGTTTTTATACTTTTCATTGCTCTATGATAAAGAATAATTTTGAGACATGATAGTGAGATCTTACATTGGTTGGAGAGAAGAATTAAACATATTTTATATAAAAATTGTGAGGGGAAGCCCAAAAGAAAAGGCTCAAAGATGACAATATTTGCTAACGGTGGGTTTATGCTGTTACAAATAGTATCAAAGTCAAACACCAAGTGATGTGTCAGCGAGGAGGTAGAACCCTGAAGGGGGGTGGACACGAGACAGTGTGTCAGAAAGGATGTTAGGGAGAGTGGATTAGGGGGTCCCACATCGATTAGAGAAGGGAACGAGTGTCTGCAAGGAGGCTAGACCCCAAAGAGGGATTGTGAAAGCCCACCTTGGTTGGTGAGAAATTTCTTTTTAACAAACGAGTTTTAAAAACCTTGAAGGGAAGACGAAAGAGAAAGCCCAAAAAAGAGTCTAGTGCCAGTAGACTTGAACGGTTACATGATTGTTTTATAAAGGGAATAATCCTTTACTTTATATGACTGATTGCGAACCATCACATGATATGCTTTCCTCTTGCACCTTTAATATTTGTACACTCCAATTAAATGAACTGCTAGAAATCCTAGAAACCTTGATCAAGTCTACATAGTCATGAGCTTGGGGTTAAGAGGTAGCCTTCCTTAAAAGGTGAAGCATCCGTGGGCAGGGACCAAGAATCCACCAAGGCTTGGATAGAAAGCAATATGATCCAACTTTCCTACGTTGC